TAAGAGACTTGTATTTTGTTCTGAGTGAGGTAAAAAAGTATTGAAGGGACCTGAGCCAAGGAGTGACACGTGAACTGATATATAAACATTTATCCGAAGGCTATATATACCCCATGTTCATTACAGCATTATTCATGGCCACGACATGGAAGCAACCAAAATGTCCTTCAATGGGTGATTGGATAAAGATGATGAGGTACATATACAGAATGGACTACTACTCAGCCATAAGAAAAGATGAAATAGTGCCATTTGCGACAACATGGATGGGTCTTGAGATTATCATGCCAAGAGAAATGTCAGACAGAAAAAGTCAAGAACCATATGACTTCACTTATATGTGGGATATAAAACTGAAAGCAATAAATGAACAAGACAAACAAACAAACAAAAACTCATAGACACAGAAAATAGTTTAGTGGTTACCAGAGGGGAAGGGGGGGAAAGAGGCTGATAGAAGAGGGAAAAGGGGGTCAAATATATGGCGATAGAAGAACTGACTCTGAGTGGTGAACACACAATGCAGTATATAGATGATGTATTACAGAAATGTACGCTTGAAACCTATATAATTTTGCTAACCAATGTCACCCCAATAAATGTAATAAATAAATTAAAAATTGCATAAAAAGCAAAAAAGATTACTTGAGTTACTGATTGTATTAGTTTTCTTATGCTGCATAAAGCATTACTACAAATTCAGTGCCTTAAAACAATACACACTTATTATCTCACAGTTTTATGGGCCCAGCATCAGCGAGGAGGCACCATTCAGCGGGTTTCTCTGCTCAGGGTCCCCCAAGTCTAAAATCAAGATGTGAGCTGGGCTGTGTTTTCATTTGAAATGCAGGGTCTGGTTCCAAGTTTATGCAGGTCATTGGCCGAATTCATTTCCTTGTGGTTGCAAGACTGAGGTCCACCCAGGTCCCTGATTTTGGGCTTTTTTTATTGTTTAGTTTTGCTATCCTAACCATCTTTTCTACTATGGTAAAAAGTTCATCACCTAGAATTTACCATCTAAGCCATGTTTTAAGTGTACAGTTCAGTAGTGTTAAGTATGCTCACAATTGTTGTGAAACATATCTTTAAAACGTTTTCATCTCGGATATCTGAAACTCTGTACCCATTAAACAATTCCCCTTTTCTCCCTTCTCCACTCTCCTGGGAACCGCCATTCTGATTCCTGTCTCTGAGTTTGACTACTTCAGACACTGCATGTTAAGTGGAACCATACAGCATTTTGTTTGGGTGTGTGTGACTGGCTTTCTCTTTGCTTGTTTTTGCTGACTGTCAGCCTGGGGCTACTCTCAGTTCCTAGCCTCTTCCCCTCTTACAGCCTGGTAAGTTTACTCCTTCAAAGCCAGCAGGGGAAGTTGACACATTGAGTCATTCTCTCTCCAATGTGCTAAGACAGAGCGTTCTATAACATAACATAATCACAGTGGGGCCTCCCCATCACCATGGCCATATGATGTAACCTACTCAAGGGAATAACTATCCCAGTATATCCACAGGTCTTGCCCATCCTCAAGTGAAAGGGATTATACAGGGTGCGTACAATAGGATGTGGGAATTGGGGGGGCCATCTCAGCATTCAGGCTACCCTGTATGCGGAGAACAGAATTGTGGAAGGGGCAGCAGAAGAAGCTGGAAACGTCTAGACCGTTGCTTCTCAAAATGTAATGTGTGTGTGCCTCTCCTGGGGGTTGTGTTGAAATTAGATTCTGACTTAGCAGGGCTAAGACCTGACTCCCCTAACGATCTCCTAGGTGATGGCAGTGCTGTTGGT